ACCGCCTAGTCAGCGTAGCAACCACTCATGTGCCGACGCGCCCACATACACGCACTGAGACCTACATAAAGGCAAACCGAACCCAGTCAAGACACACAGTCTCGCGCGCGCGCGCAGGGAGCAGGACGTCAACCTCTCCACAGGTCCACGGACAATCGTGGGACACGTGTAGCAGCCAAACTGCGGGGAAAACACGTTACCGCCGTCCGGACTTTCACCAAGGTACTCTCACATACGATAAGTTCCTTTTTGACTTGCTTTCATTTCGCATTGTATTCATTTTTATACGTGTCGCAGCCATGTTAAAATCTTCTATTAGTGCACATTCACTTTATGATTTGTATTATGGCTATCGCCCACTGTGCACTAATAAACCAAGCACAACACTCAAACGTGAACACATTCTCTCGCTCGAGCGTTATAGTTCAGATTCATCCGGCGTGAGCTTTTGATGTAGTGGTAACACCCTCGCCACTCATATCACTTGTCCGGTATCCAAATGCCTGGGTCATGCACTGCAGGAGTGATTCTCTCCTTCAATGTGGATTTCGGGGTACTGTTCTAAACGGGAGTGATACAGATGTTAATTCATGTGGGGAAACACTGTAAGTTATATTTCACCCTTTTGGGCCGCAGTAGTAAATGTAAATATTCAGCACCTCATGGGATGGGTAGCGCACCCATGCAACCGATACGACCGCGTTACGGTTCCAGAAAAGAGTTAAGGTATTGCATACCGCAGAATCGTAATAATTGTCTGCACATTCTTATCGATTAGGTTTTCGATAAAGGTGCATTACATGCTGTCAGGAAGTCAGTGTAACAGCCGAACGGTATCCGCGAGCGAGGCTTAATACCAGAACCTCCGGGAAGGCAGAACAAAATCGGAGCTGGGTTTCCCTACGGTACTATTAATGTAAACCATCAATCCACAAAATATACAAACCTCGGCAGTGAATATTCTTCCACAACAAATGGTCCAATGGGACTACAAAACTACAAACTAAATGAGCAAGCAGGATCCCACGTGAGACAAGTCACATGCGCATAAGGCCGGCTACGAAATGGCCGAATGACTTCAAGGTCAAATGGTCGGAGTGGTGTGGGCAGACAAACGCCAGTTCATAAACGTGCACTAAACAAAAAGTGGAGATATGGTTACAAATAGAGTGGGGAATTTCAATTGTCAAAGTAATGTGCGATAAATTCAGATTACCGAAAATAATTCAAGAATGCCTGAAACCTACTGAAACGTCAAACCCCACCAAAATCGCAGTAAGAAATCCGTCAAGCATCCGGGCCAGAGAAACCAGCTTTCGACTGAACGCTCAAGCAGTCATTCAATGCAGCAACAGTTGGCGACGGTGAGTGTCCTAGAATCGCATGGAAACATGACCGACGATGGGTGTCCGCCCAACAGCCTTGATCAAGATCAGAACTGCGCGTTAAATACCGCGACACTTCCCGACGTTTTCGCATTCGCTTGTCCGCGAGTCTTTTCCCGACATTAAGGCACTGAGGTGTGGACAGCAGTTAGTTGCACAGCAAAAGCTACATTTTGTCGCATCCATGGAAACTGACTGAACAAGTCTTTTTTCATTCCGTAGAAATCTCAGTTTATCAATTCACAAACCTGTGTTCTTTTCAGGTTGAAAGCAACCTCGTTTACCCATCGTTTCAAGCTTCAGTAAACGCGCGCGCTTGTAATTCGTTCATTATCTGACGGCAGTTGGAGTTTGTTGATAATTCCGGAAATACACTCATTTGCAAATCCATTCAGTTTTGACGAGAAACTCAATTGAATCTCTCGTTTATGGTATTCTACAACTGAATGCGCTGCACATGGGCCGTCTCATGTTTCAGTTGGCAAGACAATCGAGATATCACAGTATATTTTCATAACGGAAACTACTCACAAGGTTGCTGAAGAGTTTTCAGCAACCTTGTGAGCAGTTTCCGTTTGTTGATAATTGTTTATTAAAACAACTGGGCGTTGAAACTTGGGTACCTGAAGTTACAGTTTGCTTTCAGAGAATGGTTCCCTTGATTGACTAAATGACGTTGCTCAAATCTGCGTCACATCGGTCGAAAGTTTGTCAGATTGTGAAAGCACCAGTGACACCTTGAGTTTTTTGCATTCTCATGAAAATCACATTTGTTTACTTTGGAAAATTGCTCCCGTGCGGGCAGTAGTTTGTACGGGGTCACTTTATCGTATGTCTTGCCGAACGGTCACAAATTATGCAGCGGACTAGGACATTATCAGCGTGCTCG